ATGCTTCTGGATTCTTGAAACGAAGCGCTTCGTTAAGACGCTGGAAGAAGTCCACTGGCATTGTATAAAGATAGATTGATGCTGATTCATCTCTTGTTAAATGTGTATTTTGTCTACGTTTTTTCATGGCTTCATTGACATATTCTCCCACTTTAGGCACGATATGGACGACACCTTTTACTGCATTTTCTAGTGATTTCACAGGCACATGTTCGTACCCGAATATTGGATTGCCATTTGCTTCTTGAAATTCAGCACAAGTGTTGGTCGCAAAGCGATTGTTAGCTCTGTGCAAGTTTTGTCGTCTCATATGATTACAAATATTTTATTGGATCACCTTATTTACTAAAAGAAAAAGTAAATAAGCTGTGATTCATTTCCTAATCCTAAAGAAACTATGACAAAATTCAACGCTAATTTTTGCTCTGAACGTTTAATGGTAAATGTCTAAGTTCTTTTCTGTTAAACTCTATACACACAAAAATGATCCTCTAGAAACAATTAGAACTATAGTCTTTTCTAATGTACATCTATCGACAACTCTTCCAGAATTCTCATCATATTTATTAATAATCGCTAATTGTCATCCGACGTTTGCTTCGCCTGAATGATTATCAATGATAGAGTCTTATTTTCACATCAAATCCTATTTTTTTATATTCACAGACACTCATATCATGACAAAATAAAATCTAAAAAATCTGTTGTGAAGAAATAATTACCTTTCCAGTACCATAAATTATCAAAAGGACTTCATCTATCAATTTACTTATCACTATTTAGTAATAGTTATATACTGAAAAAGTCGGTTTTTTCCCTGCGCTTATTTATGTGAATCATGCCTGTCCATAGTAAAGTGGGTGATTTCCCTCGTGTAATTACTCAACTGTAATATATTAAATTTTGTATACGTAAAGAATTTGTTCTCTGATGAATCACATATACTAATAAAAAAATACATTGAATAACTAACACTCGTAGTTCTTATCAACAACAGCGTAAAGCTAGCTTGTGAAAAACAACAAAAAACGCCCAGGAACGTTCCTATAATAATCTCAATATACACAGCACATCTACCATTTATTCTTATGTCGACAATTCCTTCCAAGAGAGATGTTCTTTGGAGGGCTGCCATCCGTACCCCTTTTTGAGGTACAGTACCCCATTTGAACTATTCTTGTTTGCATCAAACAAAAATCATCTTTGATTAAAATTAATAAATTTATTGACTGTAATTAACATATTCATTCCCAGAAAATTGCGAAGGGTACGTTCCAGTCATATGAACCACTCATTATCTTCAATCGAACTCGATGCAAGTGAAGCAGTTGCTACGGATGTCAGCTATAAGATACGATTAAATATTAAGATAAAAGTTAAAACCATCATTCTTTTTCAGAAGCTCGAACACAGCTGATTAAAATCTTTATGGTCAAAAGAAATTAGCAAATTATGGTAATTTGGTTCTGGGCTCCCATTCGACTAATATTTCCTCNTTTACAAAAAAATGCTCGATTATGTACAATCAATTAACCTGACAAAAATATGACTTTAAAAATTCGGTTTATCATTACTATATGAACAAATTCTTAGCACGTTTCAAAAGAAATAACCACTTTACATCTACATAAGGAACACCTACCTCTTCTCATACTCAACCAAAAAAAGTAACTTTTCGCACAATATAGAAAAGAAAAAATGAGGAAAAAAATGCGATATAGCTTTGTGCGCAGCGATATGAAGAATCGAATTAGGTGAAATATTCGTCTTTATCACTCACGTGGAAAAAGTACATAGGCTTAAAAAACTGACTAATGGATAATAAGATCGATAATATTGAGGATGTCAGCATCGACACACTCTAAAGTGTATAGAATTGGAAGAAATTAGTTTCAAAATGAAAAACATAAAACAGATTTGTAAAGTTTTGTATGCATTTTGATAAAAAACCTGGCACATTTCAGTACCTCAACTGGAGGGAAGTTTTGATCATGACTAAAAACTACATATATTGGCGATCAGCGCTAAGATCTCCATCGAATTATGTAAAAAAAAGTGACAAATCATACTTTTACTCGTCGTTCGAGCAGACAACACCTATACCGTGTGACACTTGACTATGTGATGAGTCGCAACGAAAAACAAATCGAATGATGCGACTGCTATTTCTAGTGTTGCTGATGAAAATTTAAAACAGAGCGTAAGTATGCATAGAATAAATATAGTTTCCACACCACATCTTACATTCATCACTTCCTCATTCAACTATTTCTTCCATAATAACGGGTGGGCCATAAAGAATTGCCCTCTCAGTAATTTTAAATTTTCTCCCTTATTATTCGTGCGATTAAAATATTTTTTTTTACCAAAAGATGGCGCTTGAAATTCTCTACGAAGATATGTATGATTGAATTTGAAGGTCATTTTAAATATATTTCCGAAAAGATGAAAAGTAAAGATGTGCAAACAGCTGTAAAAAATAAACATGAAAACGGTGATGGACCAACAAAAATTTATCGTGATTTAGGTGGAGTAGTTTCATTGCGAACAATCAAATTATGGATTCAAATGATCAATCGAACGGGATCGATCAATTTAGCACATTCACCCGGTCGTCCACGCACAGCTCGAACGAAAAAGAATATCTTAAAGGCTAAACGTCGTCTAGTACAGAAGAAACGGGTGTCATCAAGCTTATTAGCTTCTAAACTGCGTATTTCAAGAACAAGTGCACGACGAATATTACGTGAAGACCTTGGGTGTTTTCCATATAAAAAAATTAAACAACCAAAATTGACTGATCTTCAAAAAAGAAAAAGGGTTAAATTTGCCAATTGGGTGTTAAACAACTATACAAAAGAAGACACCAAAAAATGGCTTTTTACTGATGAAAAATATTTTGACTTAGATGGTGTATACAATGTTCAGAACGACCGCATATGGGCGGTCAGTAGGGAAGAAGCAGATAAACAAGGTGGTATATATCAAAAAACAAAATTTCCAGTTAAGGTGATGGTGTGGTTGGGCGTATGTGCTGAAGGTCTGACGGTACCGGTGATTATGGAGAATGGAACGATGGATGCAGAAAGATACATCAGTGATGTTCTTCCAATTGCTTTAAAATATGGTAACAAAATGTTAGGAAACAAATGGACTTATCAGCAGGACGGAGCCAAACCTCATACACATCACTCAAGTCAAAAATGGTGTGCTGATCATTTTCCTGATTTTATTTCGAAGGATCGTTGGCCACCGAATTCGCCTGATTTATGTCCGTTAGATTACAGTTTATGGAATGAATTAGCTGAATCTATGGATTGGAAGAACATAACAACAAAAGCAACATTAATAGACGAAATAAAACGTTCTGTCAAAAAAATTAAAAAAGAAAAAATTTTACATTCTGTACTTGATTTTACTGTACGATTACGTTTAATCCAAAAGAATGGAGGAAACTATATTCGATAAATAAAATACATCATCTAGTGCAGAATTTCATGCGCTATCTTTTGATTAAAAAATAGATTTTAATCGCACGAATAATAGAGGAGAAAATTAAAAAATACTAAGAGGGCAATTCTTTATGGCCCACCCGTTATTTACTTCCCGGAACATTGGCTTCAAGCCAAGATAATACTTTTATCGAAAACGAAATCATCTACAGTTGAACTAAATGATACTCGACCAATATCATTACTTCCATGCTTCTCAAAATTATATGAGAAACTATTTCTTGAACACTTTCGTCAATGGATTACAGATCATGGTATACTTCCTGAAGAACAAACAGGATTCAGGCCGGGTCACAACATGTACACTAGAATTACAGCAATTATTGATCAAATTGGACAAGGACTTGCTCTTAATACAGCAACTGCTGCTGTTTTTATTGATTTTAAAAGTGCGTTCAATCAATTGTGGATAAAAGGTCTATGGATAAAACTCAAAAGACTCGATTGTCCNACAAGGAACTGAAAAGTTATAAATGTTTCTAGGCGCTACTTGAGTAAAAGTAAGCGTGAGAACTGAATTGAAGCAGTTCGAAACATTTGTAACTTTCCAGTTTCTTGTGTATATCATATATGACATGCATGAATACAACTCAAAGCAATTTCATCTATGTATAAACCTTCTAGGTCGTCGAGGATCAGATGTCTGATGGTGTAAATACGACTTTCACAGGAAGAACTGACGAAATACTCTACTGTGCTGGCGTCTTATCGTACTGGGTGGATCGGACAGATGAAGACTCTCATGGAAAAGGATTACGCACTCACCAAGGGCGTCAGTGGTGGGAAATTCTCCAGAGATATTGCATATGGAAACCCTCAGAAAGAACCTTTCGAAAATATTTTTGGGAATGGTTTCGTACGGAACCTTTTTGAGACCAAACCATGTGGACTTTAGCGATTGTGTCCGCCGACCCATTGCTTTTTTTATTTGGTAAAACACCTTTTTTTGATTTCAGTGTAGGAGTCCGTACACTATTTCATGTCACATGATGATGTCTTTCTGGAATCCATATTGAAAGGTACATTGGGCTAACGTAAATATCAAGCTGCATAGAGCGATACATGACGTGCAGAAAGCTCGGCGAGATAATTATTAAAATAATAGAAGCATCGTAGGGGTACTTGGAATAGGACATGTTTTTATTATGAAATTATCGTAGCTTCGTGATGACCGATGGCGGTGTTGGTCATTGTTGGTCGTTATAAAAGCACTTGAATTCTTTTTTTTTCTGTATTATGATCAATTGAAGTGTTCATGGTGGATGATGAAATGGTATTGAATTGAGTTCGAGCTAATCTTTGAGCCTCCAAAAAATATGGGCGGTGGACAGATTTGTTTTGAAAACTTTTATGACTATCCCGCGTTTTTCCCTTATGTTCTTATACCAGGAGATGCAGCTTTTCACGGGCTTTCAGGATCTATCTTCGTTTTTGTGGGGCACCTTGGTAATAGTAAATTTTTGGCTCAAATACGTAAAAAGTAAAAATAAAAATGAGTCATGCATTTTTGTATTTCAATCGTTTCGATTCCAAAAGTCACTTATTGAACTATGATCCTTTAGAAATTTCTGTAGAGCAGATTCTGCGCTATCGGATGGTGTAAGATACTTGCATGTTTGATTGATGTTTAGCGAAAATATTGACCAAACAAAAAAATCAAGAAAAAAATCACAAAATTTACAAAGTCATTTTAGGGTGCTAAACTTGCCGTCCCAATATCTTAGCTATTAGTACCACATACGATGTTGATATTTTGACTTTTTTATATACAGAAGATGACCTCTCAAACGTGATATCAAACATCGAAATCCCAGAACCATCTTCGGACAGCTATGCCTAAATTGGTCCTTCCTGTCAAAAAACGTCTCTTAAAAAGAAATTCATATAAAAGAACTTATTCCTTATTAAAGTGTGGGGACGTGGGCGACGACTCGTCTTCTCTTTACCCAAACCCTCAAGATGGTGTTTAGTGGAATCCGAAGTTGATGTGGAGTGGGGATGACCAGAAGTGGTGTTAGAATGCAGTTGAAATCGCTAGTGTGTTCCAACTTTTATTCAACTGTAACTGATCGTAGTAGTAATGAAAGAATGACAAATAGTGCGTAGTGTAGAAATCGTTAACTCGATTCGAGTATTAAAACTTCCTTCGAATTCTAAAACTTATAAATCTAAAACTCGAAGCTTCGAGTTTTCAACTATTCAACTTCTAAACTTATAAATCTAGAACCTGGAGCTTGGCGTTTTCGAGTATTCGGGTTTTACACTGCTACCCAACACCCCCGCCCACACCCTCACCCACCGTCGTAATCAGTTAGTTATTTAATAATTATCGTTTAATTAGTGGATCTTTAATAGCCATTTAGTTAAAAGTTTAAAATTCGAAGCTTCGAATTCTAAAATTTAGAAGTTGAATAGCTGAGAACTCGAACTGAAAGTTTAACACTCGAATAGTCTCTTCGACTTTTACATGTATGGAAACACNGCTTGATAGAAACTCATAGTTTGTCACCAATATTATCACGCATGAGTTTTAACTGGGACCCATGCTCTGAAACGAAGATTCAGCACCCCATAAAATGCTGGTTCCGCCACTACTATGAAGTATTTTAGTTACTTTTATATTTGGTGCACTTTTGTCCTGCGAATACTCCTATATTCAACGTCCAAATATCCTTAATATCGTATTTGGCGTTTATGGTATATTGACCAATATATTTCGATTCTTTGTTCCAATTGCTATAAAAATGTGTAAAAAAAACTATGTAGGAGTCGAGCTACAACAAACTTGCAAGAACCATCATCGGCATCTCGTGTTTAAATTATTGAATATTCTTTTGGACGATGTCACAATTAACTATTTATACTAACAATACTTTCATCGGGAAAGCTCAATAAAAAACCTTATTCTTATCAACATACACCCTCGAGAAGATTCACTACTGAAATACAGGACATAACTATGGAAATGATCGTATTTCGACAGGAAAATACAGCTGGAAGAGTAAAGAAAGGTTTTAGTTAAAAATTTGAGACAATGTGAAGATCTAATAAATTTTTATTGAAGAATATGATAATCTTCGAGGGTGACATTGACAGCAGCAGAAACAGAAATTGGTTCAGTAGTTACAAGACCAGTAGAAGTGTCTGTACCTGGACCACGAACAAGATTTGTGTGAAAAAGTTTGTTACCACGTATCGTAAGACCATTGACAGCATAAGCATGAATACCTGCGACTGATACTTCTTGAATGAGGTTATTTTCAATAACAATGTTGCTATGATCATTTGGGTATGGAGTCGATTGTTTGTCCGTATGAACAAATATGCTGATAAGCTTATATCTACACCAATGAAACTGATATTGTTGTTTCGAATTGTGACGTTATTGACCCAACCGGCTTCGGGCCAATATCCAAATTCGGGACCAACTAAAACAGCACATTTAGTAAGTCGTTCAAAACGATTTCGTTCGACGAGACCATTACTCGCCATGAGACGCAAGCCACGTGCGCGATGATCATGAAAATAACTATCACGAACCAAATAATCAGGACTGTTCAATTCAGGAATGTCAAACCATTGATCCACAGCAAGAGGGATGGTAGGTGAAGTTAAAAGATTGATTTCATATGTAGTGACTACATCACTCGTATTCACTAACTTATAAGAAGCAAATTTCGCCACTCCGATCAAATTGAAGTTGCCATTAGCTTGTAGACGTACAGTATCACCAGTCTTTGTAGGGTGGAGAAAGGAATAAGGACGTGGATGGGTAAACTGAAAGCGTGTGTTCGAGAGTACATTTGTAATCTTGAGAAAAGGTCCATGTACATTAAGAGAATCATCACCTTGATGAGATATGTCACAATTTTCTATTCGCGGTCCTTTACGGCAATATGCAAAGTTAATAGCATCAGCATTTGTGGAAAGAAGACGTGCTTGAATGGCGCCGAACCAGGTCGTAAAGTAACACGGCGAAAATTAACGACATCGAGATTATAACGACCAACAAAACTAAGAGAAGGCGAACTGAGCATGGTGATATATTCAAAGGTCACTGAGCCAATACAATCGAAGATATTAACAGCATTCGTAGCATCAGTTTCACGACGGTCCAGAGCAACAAAATCACCAATAGCAAGAGTTGCCGGCCAGCTAGGACCGGTTTTGATCAAAGTACCCATACGATTCGTAGTGATTTTCAAAGAAGGTTTATAGAAGTCATGAGCATGTGGATGTCGTCGACCATCTGGTTTGAATAAATGTGCCGATGGCGTTGGACCAAAGCCGTCATCGAGATCAGGATATCCATCGTGCACTTTAAATGTAATCGAACTCAATGTGATAGCAGTGATTGTGCCTTGAGTAAAGGGAAGTGGATCATAATCGAATGTTAAACCTCTAATGACTAAATTATTCGCTTTTGAAATAGATAGAATACTGCGTTTACGGTTAGTTATAATTAGAGTCGTGCCAGTACCGTCAACTTCGAGATTAGTGGCATTACGAATGTTTATTTGATCTGTGAGGCGATGAATTCCTGCTGGGAGAACTACAAATGAACGGCCAGTTGTAATAGCGTTCTGAATCAAGACTGCGATGCTAGGTACAGTGCTATTCGCTGTTGGATTGATGGGGATAAGCATAGCGGATACATTCATGATTTCGGGTTTTCCCGTCCAAAACGGAACTGATGTGTAAGCGGCATTACCATCTACTGTTGTCGTATTCTTAATGGCTTTAGATTCCATGTAACGACGCCAAGGTGGTGAACTCCATGATGATTTCCATACAGAAACTCGAGTAGCTGTACCTGTTGCACGACCATTGACACGAAACTGAGCAGCACCATTATTCCAGACACGAACATCAACTAAGTTGCTTGTGGTATTGTCAGGAAGCCACAGACCATAGCCAACATTATCATGTATCATAGTATTAGTGATGTTTGTCACACTATTATGAACATTGGCAATACCGTTGTCATTAGCCCAGAAACGCCCATTAGTAATCGTACAAGAGATCGTTTCGTGTGAAGAGAAACCTTCGTCAAGATTGTTGTAACCAGCGATATTCTCGAATATGATGTTATTACCATCTCCGTGAAGATTAAAACCGTCACCGAGACTACCGGTGGCAATTATATTGCGATAGATATGATGGGAAACGCCATTAAGAGCGACAACAAAAAGACGAGCAGAGATTTCCCAACCTTCCGCTGACGTACCAGAAGTAAGTTCGAGAGTTTTTCCATCCGTTCGTAATTTGATTGGTCCAATAAATTCACCAGCGTTTTGATCTTGAAGGATACGTCGTCCATACCATGTAATAACAGCTGGTGCTGTCTCGAATGGTTTTAAAAGTGTGTACATCCAAACATTACCATCGAATGTGAAAGGCATTGGATCGAAACCAGTGATCGTCTCACCATTACCTTCAACTATAATCGGAGCTGTAGCCGTGCCAGACTTTTTAATGTTGAGCGTTTCAGCACGTTGGTCAACGAGTAGTCCTCGGCTAGACACGAGAGGTACAGAATGACAAATGCACTGAAAGATGAAATAGATTTTACCCGATTTGTCTTGCTTGTTGATGATTGTATTCATCTAAAATAACACGTCGTAGAATCTCTTAATGACAAACTCACGGACATACCTGATGCACTGACAATAACCAGTAGGAAGAAATTGAAAACAAGAATATTAAAAATAAACTGATACATGATAAATATAATACCAAAATGAAAAGATACATCTTACAAATCGATATTCTGTTGCCATATGATGCCATAAAATATTTTCCTCAAATAGGATTAATTTTCAATTTCGTTGCGATTAAAAAAACATCGCAATTTATTCAATGGAATTTTACAATACGAGAGAATAATCTACAGCGGTGTAAAATACGAATATTGAATAGGCGATTTGTTCATGAAACTAGCTAATACTGTCATTATCGTTCGATTTTATATATTCAATAAAAAATGCCATTCTCTGAAGCAAACAGAAGGCGAAAGAGTTAGATTTTCTTCTATATTTTCGTCAAAATATATAAAATTGCTTTTTTCAATAAACCAAAACCAATGTAAAAATTTCTGTATAGCTCTTCATTTCGCTTCCTTCTCTTTCTACTCTATGCTCCTATTTATACAATGTTGTTCAGTGTCTTTGCAGAATATTTGTTGGTTTTGAACTTGCTCAGCACAAATATTTACTTTCATTACAATTCATATAAGCAACGAACAAGGAACAGAACCAGAAGCTTATTTCTCACTGTCTTAGTGATGCATATATCAAAATCTACTTAGTTGATTGCAGGAGTATATTCACCACTACAATCTCTTTTTATACCTGATGAAAATGACACTACAACAATACTCAGACACGAGCTACCTGCAACTCGATGGTATGCTTTTCTTTTCATATTGGTCATATATATAGTCTGAATTTCATTGTTGTGTACCCATGGCTCCTATTTATTGTGATTAAGAAAAATAGAGTCAAGTCGTAATTGATGAATTCCCATTCTAAATAGTCTTTTTGAGTGCAATACCAGTGTTGTAAGATACAGATGACAAACACTGATCATGGAAATCATTAGTATTGGAACGAATAGTATATGAGGTACCCAGTGTTCCATTGATTTGAGCAGAATTGATATAAGAGGCACAACCTGCAGTCACACTCTGCGTTCCGCAAGGCTCGATAGGTACTGCCGGAAGTTCAATGATTCCTGAAGTATTGGCACCGGAAATAGCGAATACGATTGTCTGATTTCCAACAAGATATGGACTATTGAGCCAAATGGAAAATTGTATATTCGCATAGGTTTGTACTGTCACATCGAAAGAATAAACAAAAGAAAATTGATCAAGTTGATTCGAAATAGGAACAGAGATCGATTTGTAAATCGCTGCAGATTTGTTTGTACTATCAGCAGCTTTGACATTCAGAGTTAATGGATAATAAAAGGGTGCGACTCCGACATTTGACATCGTAACACTGATTCTCATGACATGTGACCTAAAGAACAGTCAAGATCCTTAAATGAAAAGAAAACAAATCTAAAATAGTGTTGACTTACAATGCTGAGCAAGTTATTTCACTTACAGCTATTTGAGATACAAAGAAAGAATATCCTTGCATGATTGATCCATTGACAGCTCTGCTATAATCCAAATCAGAATATCCAGGTGTGTTGAAAGCATAGGAAAGCCATTGATATGTTGAATGAGTTAATTGAACACAAGTAGACCAATCCAAAGGTTTTAATCCAGTTATTGATTGACAAACTATTGTAGGATTATTTGCAAATGCACAGGGCATCAATTCAGGACGAACTTCACCACCAATTGGCTACATTTAGTTGAATTTAGCAAATACGTTTCATAATTCAGTTCAAATTACTTGACTTCTCCATTGATTAGTTGCTCCTACAGTGACACTCGTATTATAAAACATCCACGATTGTCCATACGTGTCTTGAAAGAATGAATCATCATGAAATCCAATATTCAAATTTATAGGATTGTAATTTCCCGTCACAGAGAAATAACGAAGTTGAAGCTTTGTTTTAGTAAAAGAAGAAGTAAAAGCAGCGGTAATTTGATTTTGATGTGTAATTGACGCAAAATAAGTAGCATTCGGATAAGTATGCCATTCACCCCAATGCCCCAAAAATCCAATTTGCCAAAATCCAATTCTAATATCGCCATCATATCTTTGACCTAAACGAGTAGAGTCAATATCAACTATAGAAAAGAATTTTAAAAGAAACCTAATGCTTGGATAAGCGTTACCATAGCATCGATCAGTGTTCGATTGTTAAAATCAGGAAAGGAATCTCGACTAGAAGATCCCGAATATATTCTATCAAATTAAATCTTTCTTTTCGTGTATCTTTTTCATGATGAATTCTTACGTTAGTCCATTCCACAGAAAAATCAGGTATAGATGAATTTAAACTTTTTCCTGGATAATCAGCATAGACTCGAACAATAGCATGATGATTTCTTTTTGCTGTATTGTTCAAAACAGAATCAATTGACGAGAAATCAAATAAATTTGGGCCACGCATTAAACTTTTCATTGAAAAGTATTGATTTTCCATTGAATGAGGAAAATTAATCGTTGGTTGAGGTCCTGTCCAATAATAATAAGGAACAAAACCTTTCAACGGATTCCAAGCAGTTGAACTTGGATCATAAGTGTACGTCCAATTGTAAGACACAGCACTAGATGTCCTTCGTACGATAAGAAGTAATACTGATACGTATATGAAGTTCATTTTCGATATATTAGAGATACTGTCGAAATTAGTATCGCAATGAAAAATTGCGTTAAACACCCTTAGACATATCAAGAAAACCTGATATTTGAAAAAAAGCACCTGACAATACTACTAACAGAGCTTTGACTGGATTAGACAATCCTATGGGACAAATATCTGTGTGAATATTTTCAATTGATTCAGGAGTATTTTTTTTCGAAACATTTAATAAGTGATTGTTTATAAAAACAAGAGAAGCAATTAAATTCAAACTATTGTAATGCAAACAGGTGACTCTGGACGATTAGATTGAATGTATTATATTTCCTATCCTTAAATTACTCCTACGTTCCATTTTTTTTCAATCTAATCTCTTTATCAATTCCATCGATGTGCATTTTTCTTTGACAGATAAAACCTCAATCAGTAATATTCTACTCACATAACCAAAAACGAATACAGAACGCAATGCAAGACAAACTGGTAAATACCAACCCTTAAAACGAAGTTCAAGATAAGACCATCAATACGAAGACGAGTATCACGAAAGATATGATTCAGCATAATTTCGAACTTTTGATCGTTAAAGGATTATAATCTTAAATCCAAACATCGATCAAAATCATCTAATAATGTTGAATCATGTCAACAATTGCGGATTAATCGAACTGAAAAGACAACGATATTTGTTCTTACTTTTGCCGATAGACAAATGCCTCATTGGAAACGAGTGAATGAATCAGCAAACGATATTCATCGCTATATAACGTGATCTTTTGACGATAAAATGTATTGTTTATGAAGGCATTTGTACTGATCGGAAAATCTGACTTTTTCTGTAAGAACGTATTTCTTATAGTACAGATAATAGAACACATGAGCTACAATAACGAATATGATAGTAAGCAAAACGAAGTCGGATATACTACAGTAGTCTTAGCTTGACATTGCATTGCGCTGTTTATTGTTTATTCCATGGATGTATTGTGTGAATAGTATTTGATGCTCTATGGAAAAGAAAAGTAGGTGCAACAGCACGATGGTGGTGATGAATACGGCATATGCGTAGTTTTTGTCGGAGTTCTGGTAAAGTGGTGAGACAAACAAATGGTAGTACACAATAGAGTAAATACATCATATTGGAGAGATAGGAGTAAGCAATACTATCCTCCGATACATAACCAATTAAATATTCTGTATTAACAGGAATCGTGGTAATCATATAGAGAGATGATATAGACAAAAGCTGTATAGTCATTTTTCGAATTTTAGCCCATTGTAATCCTCGACGATAGTGACGCCTTTTCCATAGAACGCGAAATAACAGAGAAATGCTACATAAAACAATAAGAATAGTTGTGACTATCGAATTGGCAATCGTATCGTACTGTGCAAGATAAAAGTCACCGTATGCACATGTAGAACCACAGAGAACTGATGTATAGTCGAATACATTTTCACACGGATACCCAAAGACCAGGTATGAAGAATACACGCAACAGTAGGCAATACAAAATGTTAGAGGAATATAATGCACTATTAGACGTTGTTTGAAAGTGTTTAGTAAATTTCGGTGAAAGATCAAAATATGACGTTCAATCGATCCCCAGGCCGTTAACCACATACCCAAAGTATAGCAGAAATTATCTATCCACATCCAATATAAACAGAACGAATGAGTGTGCAACCAGACTGAGTTAGTGCGTATATAATTAAGGAAAACGGAAAGATCGCCAGTCAGTGTAATAAAATTTAATATAACAATTAATATAAATACATGCATATCGATACCTTTTCGAATTGTTGGTGTTTTCCAGAAATGGTAAAACAGAAATAAATAGCAGGGAATGGCAAGAAGTTGACATGACTGAAGAATGGTATATTGAATATTATTTGCAACTAATATATCTGTTATTGAATCAACGTCACTTTCGTCAGTTAATGTTGGCACGCCTGTCGTATTTTTTTCATAAGACAAATTCATTCTGTTCTTGTAGGTTTTACAATCAAATAGAAAGCTGTATAAAGAGATGATTGTCTACTTTTTCATTAATCAGGCGACATAAATTAAAGTACTTCAGTTTTGATGTCCCTTTGCGTATCTATAATGAACTTCAAAGAACTCAAGATTTTCATCAAAGTTATTCAGATGTCTATAGAAGTACTAACGGAGCAATTGAGGAAACGGGACAAGTAATGGTTAAATGTGAAAATTAAAATACAATTTAAGAGATACTAAATATTAGACAAATTTTTTAAGCAAAACAAAGAAAGATAGAGAACAGTATCTTCCTATTAATGCAAAATAAATGACAACTCGAACATTCGCAATAAAAACGTCTTTTTGGTGTACTCAAAAAGTGATTGCACTTTTAGAATCTGTCACACAGATCCTAGTATACAAAGCAATATGGTTGTGCGCTTGTTCACTTCTCGTACTACTTATAATTGCTAAACACTCCATGCAGGTTCATTAAGACGAACAACCTGCAAAGAATGCTGAATACCAGTGAAAGAGTAGATATGGATGATTTAGTATGGTCCGGATGAAATTTCATCCAAATCATCGTTGTATTTATTAGCGGTAAGGAAACCATACTAGATGTGCTCAATCGTGTGAAGTGAGAAAATCTATTAAAAAATAATCCCTGTTTCAATTAAAGTCAAGGAGGAAACAGCAGTACTCCAGAGTTTTTGAAGTATTCCTGTTTGTCTCTTGCGGGTTAAAACACCAACAAGACGTTACAGAGAACAGGTTAGAAAACATTTTACCGCTGTGGCAGACTGAAAATATGAGGGTATTACTAGAGTTGGTCAATTTTCTCTATCCATTCATATGATAATTCTAGAAACACTAATTGAATTAAGATGAGACTGATTAGATGAGTGACATATGGATCATTAAAAAAGGACTTGCTATTTCTCTCTGATCTGCTGTGTCATTTATTTGATGCAGTTTTTGTCAATACATATAACTCTTAGATAAGATCCGACGCTTGCGCGTTTATTCTCACAAGTCATGAATTCTACGAAGAAACGACAAAAATGAGTTTGATAATCTGACATATTCTACTAGCGAAATGATGAGAAACTATAGGACTAAAGTGATATGTCAGCAGGAAAGATTCATAGATTAATATAGTTTGAAGAAATATTTTCTTCTTCTTCTTCCTCCCTTTTCTCAAAGCGTCAGTAGAAACGATGAAAATAAATTTTCTTAGAAGCAGAATATATGCAAACAAATAGGTTATATGAAGTGAAGTTCAGTATTGTGCACCGTTTCTTATTCTAAATAAATTATGTCAGAGAATTAAGATAAGAGATTATAGAACCTATTTATTTGGCATAATATGCAAAATTTTCGAACGAAAAGATCAGATAATTACATGAACAGTTCTTTTTTAGCATTTGATTTCAACAGGAACATGTTAGATCTTCAATCCAAGATAAAATGTACTTTCTTATCTTTTGTATTATTTCGATATTGAAGTATCCATAAGCGTTATATGAGTGTAAAATTTATATATTCGATTCTCTGGGCAATTGAATCGTAGAAGACAAAGAAAATAATAGCTTTTCAAACAATCTATTATATACAATTCCAGATAAACATTATTCCGTATGGCAAAGAACCCATCGTTATGATGAATATGCAATTTTAGTTCAATAAGACATTCATAGGTGTTTCATTTGTAATGTTAATTTTCTGTCCGTCATCTTTTATACATCTTCGGCCCCACTTTTTTTACTTAATTTCAATGTTTGTCGTAGAATAAAAATATAAATATTTATCTCATGTAACTATCGTATATCAATGCCCTTGTCTTCTCGAGATATGAATATCTTTCATTTGTTGTGAACTTGATTTAATCATAATGATGTTTGCTTTTGTGTCTGCTATAACCGTTTAAAATGCAACGACATCTTGAAAAAGAATAGCTGACTGGTGAACAAAAGAATGTCTCTTGGTTTTTTTCTCAGTTGACATTCTTTACTGGGAATCAATGGGACTATGAAGTCACTGTTGTTTTAAATATTAACTTTGTGCTACTATCATTCTCTAAATTCTAGTTATGCCTATCTGTTTTAGATAAAACATGTAGATAACTCTGTCCCATTTGAGTATTTTTATGTAGACCCGAAAGAGTTTGCTGCATCTGGTTCATACAAAGAACTCTTTTTAGTGGTCGTCGTTATGCACAATACTGTGATTGAGTTTGTAGTTGGAGAATCTGGAATGAAGCCGATAATGATGGTTGGTGTATAGGAGACACAACTTGAATATTGAAGATTTTAGAAATGCGCTGATCAGAAGCATTACTAGTATATAAATTCGATTGTTTTTTTTATTTGAACGAATAAATCCAACATAAGGTTCAATGAACACATTTTTTCCACCATTCCAATTTTTGACAATCAGTATAATTTAAATAAAGATCATCTGAACACTGTGCAAAGCCAATTCTTTAATAAATCATTGATGATGAAATGCAATTTCCATGGAGATTTATATCTCTCTGAAATAATCGACATTGATTTCATAGAGCATCATTATGGTACCAATTATCTTATATTTATTAATAGTTGTATTCCATATCTGGATGGTTAAATAACTGGAAATATTCGTCAAACACAAATTCTTGCTAAACGAGAAATGAATCGTCAATTGACAAAAATTATTTTAATACAATCAATTATTGTTGCAGTTAGTATAATATCATAGATAGAATTAATAATATTTATCGTTTTATTAGAAATGGAGTTACCAAAGATATAAATAAGCAAATTAGAGAGAATTTTTGCTACAGCAATTGTGACGATCATTTCTTATTTTATCCGACTATATGTTTAACAAATATCGGCTCAAAAACAAACATTTAGAATATTTTTTTTTCTCTCTTAGGGAATCTTTTGCATATTTTTGATTTCGTCAAGTCAATTTCCAGCTTGGAAACTATTTCCTTTGTTTTTTTTTTCTTTCAAAAATCAAATCATAAAACATGTTAAAGCAAAGTTTACTGTGTAGGAAAGAAAAATCATTGAATATTCCAGACATTGTGGGTAATAACTCAAACTCTCAATAATGTTCTCTTCAAGAGTTAAAAGTAAACAGTTAAAAGGCAAGTCAGAGTATAGCAACACCAACAAACACAGTTCCCATATTTGTATGATTCGATGCTTTGAGCCAAAAAGAAATGAAATATGAAATACCAGAATTAATCGTAAAAGTTTGTCCAATTTGATCAAAACATCCTGTACTTCCATCATTAATAAAATAATTTCCTGTATGTGGTAATCCTCCATTTGCTAATCCATAATTATTTGTGACATTACCTGCACGACCACTACAAGTTCCATTGGGCTTTGTTCGAATCCATGGAGAAAGTGAACCCGTTTCAAATCCTCCATTTTGAAGTTGTTCAATTCCAGTCTTTGTAACTGAAACATCATCTAAAAACCAATAGCCTGGATCACTTCGCATTCGAAAAGCTAATGTCACATTCGATGTTGTCGATGAAATCCATGAAAACATCAAACATGTGTAGGAACTAAAACCAACTCGTGTGGATGTTGACCATAATGGATTTGATGAATTCACTGAAATGATAGTACAAGTCGAAACTGTAGTAACACTTGCTATGAAATAATAGTTGACAATCATTTTGAGAATATCGAAATTACTCTCACTTACTGGATGTTTTCATATCTAAATGTATAAAAACATTTTTATCGATAAATATTACAATTCTCATCTTAAACTTACTTGTCGTAGAAATGGAATTACCTAAAATAATGAGCAAATATTTCACGTGGAGATTTGACTATATCACAATGCTGCTCAATTACTTACTTGTTGTTTCTATTTGTGTAGTGATATTATATGGACGCATAACAATCAAAGTATCATTATTTGCAACTAACATATACGCAAATGTTGGATAATGATCATATAATTGACAATATTGCTCATTGGTATAAAAATTCATTAATACAAATGATGAATTATCATCAAGAAAAGTATGGCATATACATTCAGAAAGAGATCCATTGAATAAGATTCTCGACGAATTATTATCAACATATATTTTATTTTGGATAATTCCAATAGGAAAGGAAAATATTCTTTGTATTAGAAGAAATAGGAGAAGCATTAATATCAACAATATATTTCAATATAACTCATGGAAATTATAGAGATTAAGAAAAAGAAACATAAAACTAACTTGTAACGTGCATTGTGAATGTTTTTCTTTTGAACTTCAACAAGACTTTGTTGATGTCGAGAGAATATTTCTTTTCATCTATAGATAATGTTGAATGAATGTAATTTATAAGAAATAATTAGTAAAAACAGCGAACGTAGTTCAAATATTGTCTTTTTTCTTCAAATATAATCATAAAAAAGAAGTCGAATATATTTGAGATGGAATTATAAATGAAGATATTCGCTCGACTAAACTTCCACTCAATCGTCTTCTTTTCAGATCCAAATTGATTTGAGTTATATCATTAATCAGTATAAGAAGCAAAGATTTACAAATCCATGATGATAATAAATAAAACAATTCGTTCTCTGTCATAAAATTAAATTTCAAGAAAAGAGTGAAAATATCCCGTTCAAATAAAGTCAACTTTATTAGATCTTAGAACAGAGAAAAATATTGGAAATGAAACTAAAACGTGTAATTGATTTTTCAGTTTCTCTTCTAACCTAATGATAATTATCGATATAAATTTGATCTTTTTCATGGTTTCATAAACAAGAATATACAGCCGGATGAAATATTAAACGGTAGGGGACAACTAAACTTTATTCAAATCTGATTTAAATCCGATTATGTTATTGAAAGGGTTTTATATTTTAATTCAATAGTTCTTCCAAAAAATACGAGAACACATGTGGAAGCAAAATGGTTTTGGTAAATTGAATATAATTAATTGTTGGCTCATTTTATCTGTTTATTGAGACATCTTCTTTTCTAATCGAATACTTAAGAAAATCTCTATTCTCTTATTCGTATCCTTCACTCATATTCTTATTTTTCTGTTGAATATCAATCGATGACAAATTCACATTAAATGATTTCTCATGAAATTGTGAAACATAACGAAAATGCAATTTCAATAATTCTCAACCAAATATTTCTAAACTGTTCTAGACGATTGCTTTCGTCTTTATATATTTACATGTACATTTAATATGTCAGATTCGTTTAGACTATGTAATCAATATTTAATGTACTTTTATGATTCAGAATGAGAAAATATCTTTAATTAATGGTCTACTCTGTTTTCTTTTTATCTTTGTGTCGATATTCCATGTTATGAAAAGATTGGTTTTTTTTAAAATTTTATTATAAAAAACATTCCCTTAAAAGTCACACATTATTTAATCAAATATTGAAAATTACCAAAGACAATATTAGTCCATAGGTAAACTACGATAAGAATAAAAAGAGCGAAACGTAAAAGACGATTTTCTTAACGTGCTCTTTTTCAGATATTGGTTCCTTGTTTCATCGATTTATTCATAGAAATCAAAAATATGTTCATGATGAGGAAGCGTCTTCTCGCTATTGCGTCCATGATTGTAGTCGATTTGTCTAATTTGGAAGAACAATTGGTGATTTATTTTCTATAAAATTCTCAACAGTTAGATCAAACGGAGTAAAGAAAGTTCTTCTTTATTTTAGCTGGCATTGGTGCGGCAACTTTATTTAAATCAGCGTCCAATAATGAACACTACCGAATATTCATTTCATTTCTTATCGAAACCGGTGAATTATTATGTTATCTATTTGTTCTACAACGAACAATTGAATTGATTGTTACATCGGTTCTCTTTTTTGTCGTCGAATTCTTTTCTCATATAACTATCTTCGATTTTGATTTTTATCTCTGTAGATTTTATTCCTTTATTGATTTGATTTCTTAGTCCTGAATCTCATTTTCGTCAAACGCTTTATTAAACTTATTTCGTTATCATTTTTTGTTCTTGTAATGGAGTCCGTCTGTCTTCTTCGTATTCCATGTTTCTATATGGATTATTCAAATGTTGCAGACGCTCGACGAATCTTATGAGACATTTTCAAATAAAATGTCAATTATTTTGTAAATCTATTATAACATGTTCATCAAGAATCGTTGAAATTGTTTCAATCTAATTCAATATTATCAATATGAAACGCATACGAAATAACACAAATGAATTTGACGATGAAGCTGTATGATAATTAATGACCTATAGGTAAAGATACTTTGCAAGATATTACGCTTCATTATGAAGAGAAAAAAAGGAGAATGCAATGTCCATTTTAACTTATAAGAAATTCTTATAAATTTAAATATTAAAAGAGCCTTGAAGTTTAATAGCAGCATTGTTAGCAGAAGTTGATATCCAAAATGTAATGCGACTTGTTTGGATTGATTCGCTTCTAAATAAACTCGTTGAAATTCTCGTAAGATTTTCAATGGTTCTTGGGCTTCAATGGGAAAATTCAGATATAATTGGACAACTTCGGATCCATAAAACTTACCAATATTTTTAATTATACATGTAATTGTATAAACAGGATCATATAATCCTGAATGGACAAAATTATTATAAGGTCTTATTCGACGTTGTTTATGAATTGATGAAGGAGAGTTTTGATCATCATCATCATCATCATTATTTACTTGTGAAATATCGAGTTGATCAAATGAGAAATTCGTGTATGAAAAACCATATACAAAATAATATCTTGGTGTTATATTGTATTTATCAAAATGACGATAATCTAAGAAAATACCTTCTGGATAATTTGAATCTCCACTTGGACTAACATCAGTTCCAAAATCAGAATCATTTTTAGCCAATGAAAAAACAAGTTTTTCACCTGGATTATAATCACCAAAGAGAATATCAACAAGAGCAGATCCATATACCGAACCAGGCATACCCGTCCAAATAGTTCCAACAACATTTGGATGATCAATCCATCGTTCAAGATTCAATTGTGAAACACTATTAACAAGAACAATAGTTTGACGACAATTCTCAGCAACAGTTAAAACAAGTTGTTCACCCTTATCAAATGTATATAGATCAGTTCGATCGACTCCTTCTTCTGACCAAGCACTAATAAATACGAGACATATGGCATTTTGAAAAGCACGATCATGAAATGTTCGATTAATCGAAACAAAGTCGTTTTGATTAGTAATATATCGAATTTGAAGATGATTTTCTCGGCCATTTTGCATCAATGCAGTGAGAGGATCTATTGCATAAGATGGACGAACAAAACCTGAACCACCACCTTGATATAAAGCACTTCCACAATTGGTTTGACCAGCTGCTTGTCCATATATATAAATATTTGTATTTATAGAAAAATTCAACGGTAAAATATTGTTGATATTCTTTAATAAAATCATACCAGCACGACTAATTTTTCGATTAATTAGATAATTGTTTCCCATAACATTACGATCAAGATCAATTGTTGGATAATTCGGATCTTGTCCAACAAGATAATATGGTGCGATAATTCGTATAACCATATCATCAATTCTTGATTGAGGAATACTTCCATTTTGAACAAATTTGGCTAAAATATCTCCCATATATTCATCAGTCCCTGGCATATCGATATCTAATCCGGATAAAATTGGATTGATTGCTGATTTCGCTCCCATCCAGTCATTTAATATATTTCCTAGATATCCTATTTCTCCTTTCAACAAATCATTTTGTGTTTTATTATTTTGACAAGCTCGTATTTCATTAGTTTCATTAGCTGAACACATGATTGAACCTACTCCTGCAGCAACACTCGATGCAAATGATCAAAGATAAATTTCATGCATAGTTTTATCGTCAAGATTAGCTGAATAAACAATCTTGAACAACTTGAGTATAGAGATATGCATTTTCACCTGAAAGATAAGGATCCGAACCAAATCCTTCCTAATTGCGACCATATCGGGCCGAATGCATAATGAACACCTTTACCTCGAAATTCTTTTCTAATTGCCACAGCACGTCGATAAAACAAATCTCGATCCCAGGTCGCTGCAATATGAATACCACTAGGAAAAGCAATTGAATATAAAACACCATCACCCACACCTGATGGGGTATTTTGAAGACAGAAACCACTAAAATTAGCGCGCGCTAATGATGCAACATTACCAGCACATGTTCCACCAACACCTGCTGTCAAATGACATTTTTCTTCTAATGTTAATTGATTAACAAAGGATTTGGCCAGTGCAATAGATTGTTTCCACGTTCGAAATGTTATTCGAGGTTGAAAATCGGGTTTGGAATCATCAATGATCGATGTTGTTCGTGACCAACAAAGAAAAACACAAAGTAACAACAAACGAGTTCTTAATATTTTAGTAATAAGAATTCAAATGTTGTGTTATATAGGTAGAGATCTCAGTTCTTATCGTCATTTTCGTGTGAATATCTTTTTCTTCAAATGAAAATATCAACATAAGTTATATCTTATAACATAGTGTGGTATGTTTTGTAGCCAAATTTTTTTTTATAAAAAACGATCACATCAGTGATATTATATCAAACACACCACGGTCATTCGGTTTAGAAGATCTTTTTGGGGAAAATCTGTGGATATTTTAGCGATGTTACCGATTTCAGTGAAATTATAGTGAATAACTGGTCGAAGAATACACGGTAAAAGAACAGAAGCATTCTTGAAAATGGGATTCTGTCATAACACATTTTCTTAGAATCTGAATACAGATTCAAGTATTCTTTGAAATTTTCTTCTTTATTATACTTCATCAATTCAAGTTATACCGATCGGATACTATTCGAATGAATTTAGTCGTTTAGCAACTTTAGATCTATTTTGAACTTGTCAGAGATGTTTTAAATGACGATTACGACGATCCGAAACATGTTCATTTGCGATGGACATCGCTGTTTGTGATACCACTCGGAGTAAAACCGAACATGACCTGTAAATATTTTGCTATTTATATTTTAGTAATAATTTATATTCTCTTCTTTATTGCTTCGATAAATTCTCAAAGTCAAATAATAACTATTTCAAATCTAAGTCCACCTCTATTCAATGAACTTTTTGAGAATTATCGTGAAACGCTTTCATGCGCATGTAAAAATACATCTTTGTCTTATGAACGATTTGTCTCAAGTCAAATTTCATATCATCCAATATGTTCAAGTGTTTTTGTTAGTAAACAATGGATTGATTCACTTTGTATTCCATATGCCGAGTAGCTGCCTAATTCGACTTATAATATAAGTGACCAATTCCTAGCACCCTTAGAAATAGAAATAGATTTAGTTTTACTTATACATATACACCCCCACACCCCTGTGAGTTTAGGAATAGAAATAGTTTTAGTTTTAGTTTTACTTATACATATATACCATTACCAACACCCACCGCGGCACCCTCAACCGAGATAGATATAAGTGAGGGTGTGGGTGTATATATGTATAAGTAAAACTAAATCTATTTCTAATCCTATCTAGGCATTTGTTATAAGGGTTATATATAGATATCTATTTATATTCGAATTGATACTAACCTGTCGGCGGTCGACTTATAATATAAGTCGAATTAGGCATCTCATGCCACACCCTCAGGATTTGTCTAATAAAACTTTATAATATAATGATTTATTACTGAACATCTTCAATTTTATTAGTTAAGATGTACAAGCTACAATGCAAGAAATGATGATAAGTTTTTCATAGGGGTAGTAAATGTGTCGAATAGCAATGTGTCTGATGGATATTAGTCAATGGGCCAACTAATAATCCATGAGAATTCCATTGATTTTGTTCATCTAAATAATAACAACCTGATGCATAAGTTCTCAGTTGATAGTTTGCTGTGAATCCATTAGATTTATATTCTTGTAAACCGAAGGCAATCAATTGATGACCTATTGTACGTTGATTATCGATCATATAAGTATAAATACTATCATTCGTTAAATTTTCTGGCTGAAATAAAATCCATCCATCAACTTTTTTCAATGAACTGTCGAAAACTGATGATCGATCGAATTTATAGACGAATAAATATGAAAGATTGATATTTAATGGTTTAATTTCAAAGTGAATAGAAATTGGGAGATCATTAGTAATATTTAAATACTGAAAATGAAATGATGATGATCGATTGAGAGAATAAATCGATGTAACATTTTGCAGAATCATTGGTGGAATTTCAAGATATGGATCGCGAGGAATGAAAAATTCGATTGGAGTCGAAAGATCTGTTTCAAGTGGCATTTCAATTCCATTCTGATCATTAATCGAAAGCGATATTGATCTCGAAAGATTTGTCTGTGTTTTCAACCAAGATTTTCCATGGATAGCCATTGGTTTCATCATGGACTAAATTTTCAAACAAATGAGAAAGAAACAATTAGTAACAGAAAATGCAAAACAAACTCGAAGTGAAATTATTTGATCAAGATTCAGATTTGAAATTAAATTTAATGGAAATCGAATCTGTCCACCATCCATTTGTTTGATTGTTTTATTCAATATTGATTTGATATCAATTGTTTCTAATGACATAAATACTTCTGGTGTACTGATAACATATTGCTGTCCGATATTTATATGCAAACTCAATGACTCTGTTAATAATGATTCTATTTCGTGAATTTTCTCGGCGAGTTCATTAGCAAATTCCATGGTGATTAATGAATCTGCATTTAGGAGTTTGGTTCGTTGTTGTAATGGACCATTGATAGCAGTGAGAATATTCGAAGCAGATTGCAGAAGTTGAGTGGCTATGATTTGAACATCTTCAAATAGTAATTTATTCAACCATGAATGTAATTGTCCGGTTAATTCATAGCATTTATTCGACGCTATGACCTATTTGAAGAAAAAACAAACAGAGAAAATGAGAAAAAAGAAGAAACTTTGTACTAGAGTTGTTCGTGTTAGCTGGTTCGTTCCATTGGTTAGCTGAACAAGTGAACGTGATTGTAATTTTAAACTACTTGCTGATGTGATAGTGAGGTCAGCGATGAATTTAATGAAATATTCACGACGATTCGCTTGCATGTTGACTTCTGATTGAACTGTTTGATTGACTGGCAATCGATTGGTGATATTCATTGGGAACAAACGCTGATTTCCTAATGGTGAAATCGAAATACTTGCCAATGGAATTCGAGCTAAAAAAGAATTCAAAGTTATTTGTTCACTAATTTGGTTGAATTCTTCAGCTAGTGAAGTTATAATTTGACCGATTGTATTTTGATTTCCAATTGATAATAGATGAATAAAGGAATCGTTCATTGGTTCTAATATCACAGTAACTGATGATAAATTAAATTCAGTAATTCCATTCAATGTATCACGAATGTGTATCACTAGATGAAGATCTTTGCCAAAAGGTAAGCGAACTTCAAATGATGGTAGTGGTGAGAATGCAATGATTTGTGATGTACTATATAATGAATATTCTTTGATATTCTCATTAGGATACCAATTGGAACAAGTTATATTGAATAAAGTGTTTGTTGTTCCATTGGATGGACTGATTTGACATGAGCCATTTGATGGTGGTCGATTGATTTCAAAATTCAATGCACTTATACTATTAAATGTTTCAAATGAATAAACAACTTCAAATTTCCAATATGTTTCATTTGGATAAAGACCAAACAAATCTTTAGTCGTAGTAAATCTGTTTGTATTTCGTCCATAAAACCAAATATTTTCATAGAAATTCATTTGATTTACTAATAAATTCTCGTTACTATAGTAAATATTCCAAGTGATATTTCTGACATTCGGACATGGATCAATACAAAATGAGTAGAGAGCTACTTGAGTTGTTGGATTTAATTTTTTAAATTCGGAATTTGATGTACATAATGATTCAATTACACATCCAATAGCAATCATTGGGCAACTTTTATCGTGAATTTGAACGATTGCATAGCCATTGGCAAGAATTGATGCATGTCGACGATTGAACATTTGAACAAGAAATTGATATGTCATATTCAATTGAAATGCTTCAGGATAGATAATCAATGAAGAATTAAGAGGTGACAGTTCGAAAGCATTCGATTGATTGAATAAACATGATTCAATTGATGAGAATGATTGATTTGTTTGGAATATTCGACAAAAATATTCATAATACCAATCCTAAGAAATAAAATAAATAATTATGGGCAAAGGGACTTTGTAATTACAACGTACACTAGCATTGAATGGAGAATTATCAGGATCTATTGAATAATTTCCTGGATTAAAAATGAGATTTTGTTGGTAACCAACTGTAATCGTTGATGTTCCTAAAGGCAAAAGGTTCGCTATGATACTTGATGGATTGATCTGCACATAAACTGATGCTGTACCAAATAGACTTGGATAATCTGTCATCAATACGATCGATTTCAATTGATAAACACCATAGGATAGGGTATTTGATGGAATATACAAATCATTGTTAGTTGTAATCAGTTTTTCATCGAATAGAATTTCTGAATTGTTATTCGCCGTCATATTTCGAATGGTCCATTTTTTACTTATCGAATGAGATCTATTACAATTTAATTTAATCATTGATAAGATATAAAAATCTTGACTATGACGATATTGTAATGGTGCTATTGAAGAATGACTTTCAGTAATTAATTTGACTGTCGGAGATAAACAATCTTGATTACTTCTCGTAGGAATAAAATCGTTTTTTAAAAATTTTTGTACCCGATGACTACGTTCTTCGGTAACATAAATATTTCCATAACTATCAAATGATATAATACTAGGTTGAAATGATTGTGGCTTGTTAGAGCAGCCAATAATGCAATAAAAACCATTTTCATCCGATCTGACAATACGTTTATTACCTTCATCAACAATGAAAACATGTTTGTCACCATCGAGAACAACTCCTCGTGGATCACGAAGATTAATTGTTGTTGATATAGAACTGTTTCCTGCGATTGTTATTCCATTTTGTTGACCAAATGGAAATAATTGAACGCGATGATTTGCAGAATCTGTCACATATAAATCTAAATTAATATCAACAAATATTCCACCTGGCCAATTAAGCATATTCGATGCTGATCCTGAAACACCTGTTCCGGCGACGATCATTTTCGTATGTGTTATATCATTTAACTGTGCTTTTTGTACTTGATGTTGGTTTGATTCCGAATAATATAAATTATCGTAGATATCGATAAAAATACCGTAACATAACGAGTTAACAGACACCACAACAGCCCATGTACCTGTTTCTGCTATCCATTTATCAATACGTCGGTTACTCTGTCCATTATCAGCATAAATATCACCATTAGTTTTCACAAAGATCGAAAATGGATATCTTAAATTACTGGCAATCCATTTGGTTGGTCTGCCAGAAGAGTCATTTTGCCAAACAAGTATTTCACCACTCATACGTTGTGGCATATAGATGTAATTGTTTGAGTTCACAAAAATACCAATAGGAAAATTTCCTCCTGTATTAGAATCAGCAAAAATAGTTCCACGTTGATCCCAAGTTGTTTTCGGACGAAATCGTGGTTGATTATAGGAAAGAGTTAGAACTAAACAGAAATTCAAAGATCTGCTCTATTTCATCGAAAACTTTACTTACTACATGACTTTTTTGATAAACTAAATTTTTGTATTCGATCATTCTTTTCATCGACAACATACATATTTCCATAACTATCGAATGATAAACTAATAGGATAATAAAATTGACGAGATGATAATCCTTGTCCTGAACATCCAAGTATGCAGTAAAAACCATATTCGTTCGAGCCAATAACACGATTATTTCCATTATCAACAATAAAAAGATGTCGATCATTATCAAGAATAATTCCACTTGGACCAGATAGTTCGATAGTTATCAATGATGATCCTTTTCCTGCGATTGTTATTCCATTTTGTTGACCAAATCGATATAATTGAATTCGATTATTGCCATAATCTGCAACGTACAAATCCAAATTGAAATCAGCAAAGATTCCATTAGGGTTATTAAGCATATTCGATGCATATCCATTCGTGCCTGTTCCAGCAACAACTACTGTCGTACTTGTTATATCATGCAGGCAAATTTTAATAACTTGATGTTGATAAAATATCGAACAGTACAAATTTTGATAAACATCAATAAAAAGACCGAAACATGATGCATTAACAGACAATACAGGGATCCATGTGTTTGTTTCCGCTATCCATCTGACAATGCCACGAATATTGTTTCCATTATCCGCATAAATATCACCATTTGTTGTGACAAAAATCGAATATACACTTGATAAATTACCGGAAATTGTTTTCGTTGGAATGATACTATTCTCATTTTCCCAAATATGAATTTCGCCAGTTTCTTTATTTGGTATATAAACTGTATTACTCGAACTAATGAAAATACTTCGAGGTCTTATACCTATTATACTTCTATTAGAAAATGTTGTTCCATATTCATTCCAAGTCGTATTCGGACAAAATCGTGGTTGATTATACGAAAGTGTTAGATTAGAAAATTCTGACGAGTGACAAATTCTGAATATCTTATTCATAAGAATAAAAATCAGCCAAATTCTAGTCATCATTTTCATTACACTAACTGTAACAAATAAAAATATACAGGGTAATCTATGTTATTATTAACAGGACGTGTTTAAAAAAAAATCATGTATTTAATAGTAAAATGACTCTAAAAAAATGTTTGCATTCTGTGATGTCTATGTTTATTAAAAGATATATCAGAAATTAATGAATCCTCCTAGACTATTGATCCATATAGAAAATATTCTGCCCCTTTTCATTTTATAAGCTACTTTATTTCGTTGTGCAGATTTACTAAATTACGATGGTAGAAAAGTGCGAAAATAAAATAAATGTTAGAAGTACGATAAGAGCACCCGAAAACGATGATTAATTCATGAATAAAATAAAAATAAAAAAACTTTTTTTTCCTACAAATATATTTACATACAGCGAGATAATACAAGTTATATTCAATGTAATTATATCTTTTCTATTTCACGTAGGAGAAAAACGTTATAAAAATAAAAACAATATCGGCTTCTACTGTTAAACTGTAATTTTGTTCTAGAAATTCAAAAGTTATGTATTTTGTTGATAAAAATAGACGGGTTTATATGAGAATGGGTGAGGGTGGGTGGGTGTGGGTGAGGGTGTGAGGGTGAGACTGTCTGCCATGACCCGTTTCGTCCATATTCAGTGGACTGATCAGATGGCACTGTGCCAACTATGATTTAAGCCAATCATTTCAAGCTATAATAGCTCAAAATTGATTAATCTCAATCAAATTCAGACGGATGGTCGTGTTGCAGATGTAAATCTAACAAATAACGGAGAAGATTCAGCTTCTCACTTGTTTAATGTATTGTTGTGTAGTTGGTTTTATGATAGATTAAGATATGTGTACTTACTTAATGTTTGATTGATGTTTGATATGGAGTAGCTCGCATGTAGTTGGTTTATATAGTCGCTTTGACGGGAGCGATCTTTGCTCTTTTCTCTACGGAATTTGAGTAGGTTGAAGATTATCTTGGTTTATATGTTAAGGAATGTTAAAGATTTTGGGTTTTTCATTAGGTTGTTTGAAATTTTCCATTACATAGTTGAATAGTTATGTGTATAAATCTGGGTAGAATCTCAAATTATCTCTTTTTTTTGTTATTCGGGTAGGATGTGTAGATATTGAAGTCTAAAAGTCAATTTTTTTAATGCGTGCAAGATATGTGTGTGTGGGCTCGGATAATTTCATATATATCTTTAAGATTGATTTTTTCTGATAAAGAAAAGAGAAGAGATTTGTGCGTTTCATTCGCATCATATTAATATATTTCAGTCGAAATATCAATTTATAAGATACCCATATATGTATTATTATTCAGAATATTTTAAATTTGCTTAAGCAGCAACTATTATGCAGATTTCACTTGATTATAGCGTCTTCGCAACTTTATAGTATTATGAAAGGTGTAATTAATGAAAGTAACTGTTCAAAGTAATATACCGTGCTTAAGAGTCAGTCCATCAAAATACCGACTATGTCGCCTGTAGAAACTTTTTAGATTTTCAATTTGACTCTCTCAATCGAAAGCCCATCAAAAGTTACTATGAAAACCAAAATATCAGCTCATTCTGATATGTCTTTCCAAAAATAGCTGGGACGTCATTTTTTCAACTTCTCGAATCATAATCTAAAAATTGATTTTTTCAGTTGTGATCGTGTTTTGCGATTTTCTCCTCTATGTTTCATCCGTTTGAGGCGCGGATTGTCTGAGATGATAGAGAAGTTTTTCCTTTACAAAAAAGACTATTTGTAATATTTCCCGGATGCATTTTTTCTAAAACGATTTTATAAAAAAGACAAAAGCCGAAAGAAAAAAGTGTGAAAATTCAGTGAACAAATCTTATCGTTATCCAGCAATATGATACGAAATAAAGAGATCCCAAGCTGAATTTTTTATATGTTGCAGCCCTGCTCGTGGCGCACCTTTTCGTGTGTTTCTTTTTAAAAAATATTTCGACCCGCTTATAAAATTTTTCGTCACAAAAATTTGAATAATTCATAATTTTTCTCTTTTAACGTGAAATAACCGAATTATCTCAAGAATAAATGGAAAATGTAATTATTTGGATAGTTTCAAATTTTCTAATAAAAAAGACAACATGAAAACCGATGATTTGTGACACATCTGATGGACCATTGAACAGATCAGTGTTGTGTACTTATCAGTAAATAATTAAAGAAATCGTAGAAATTGATTTTACCATTATTTTGTCAGATTTCATAATAATCGAAATGATGCCATGTTACTTTAGCATACTCTGTTGGGTGTTCCCAGCAAAGATTCCTTCTCATTCCTCTTTATTATTTTACATGTGTGTTATATAGGTGGTCTTCATGCCTCTTTCTATAAATGAACAGTAGGTTCTTTTTATTTTATATTTTTTATGGTTCCTTCGTTCATTCTACTCTTTCTTAACAATTTATTACATAGCTCACATCTCTTATTGAGTAGTTTGACGGTAATATGAATGCAAAAGTATAGAAACGGACTTGAGTGTAATGAGAATGAACAATACGAAGAAGAAGGAACTGTATGATGAAAATCAATAAAAGAAAAACGATAAGAAAATACATATTTGATTGATATAATACTCAGTTGAGGGTAAGTAACGCAACAAATAGTATGAGACTAAACGATATACACATGCACTTTTGAATTACATTTATCTATTCATTGTTCTACGTCAGATTTTCGATGAGTACAGGGGGAGTGCAAAAGTCACTTAACTCAAAACAAAAATGAATATCTTCATTATAGCTCAAGCAAATGAGCTGATTTTTTTTATCGATGATAGAGACATGTTCAAGGTTTATATTGATAAAGACATGCCCTGCGGAACTCTTTGTTAAGTATTACTAAAGACCTCATCAAAGAAAAATTTACTTTTTTTACAAATAAGAGAAAAATAGTGTATGATAAAGAAAAGTAGTCTGTCAAGAAAAAAGACACATCTACTCTTAGTTCTTCTCTGTATTGTGAAATACATGTCATGGTTCTTTATTGAGATGAAACGAGAAAGATAGCGACATGCTACAATCAATACTTTGTTCATATTCTTTAAAAAATGAATAATGTTTTAGCGCAAATGTTCGAATTGTTTCCCTTCTGTATTAATACACATTTGACAACGATCAGCTACAGAACGAGAAATTTTTTGACATAATTCGATATCAACATTGATTGATATAAATTCTTGTTCGATTAGTGACTTCAGATGATTAATATTACAAGGATTTTGAGCATAGGCACGGTCTTTTAAAATTCCCCATAGTGAAAAATCACATGGAGTTAAATCTGGAGATCGTGGTGGCCATTCAACAGTTCCTCGATGGCCTATCCAATGTAAGAATGTATCATCTAAATAATCTCGCACAATTTGACCATAATGGGGTGGTGCGCCGTCTTGCTGCCAGATCATTGTTTGGAAACTTGGATGTTCTTCAAGTTGTGGTATGATATTATCCTTCAACATCTGAAAATACTTTTGTGATCTAACATTACCTTCAAAAAAATATGGTCCAACGACGCCATTTGACCATATTCCTCCCCAAACAATCACCTGTGGTACATGGAGTTCTTGCTCAATAACGAGGTGTGGATTTGTATCATTCCAATAAACGCAATTGTGTCTATTAACACGACCATTTATTTTGAATATGGCCTCGTCCGTCCATAGAATTCGATCCAATACAGTTGAATCTTCTTCAAATGAATCTAAAACCCATTCACAAAATTCCATTCTTCGATCTGGATCATCTTCGTTTAAAGCTTGTAATAATCTTGGTTTATATAGTTTTAAATTTAGATCCTGCATAAGACGGCCTAAGCTTCTACGGGAGATACCAAGATCAATTGATGCCCGTTTTTTAGATGTTTGTGGATTCAGAAGAAAAGTTTCAGAAACACGTTCCATATTTTCTTCCGTTCTAACTGTTCTCGGTCTTCCACTTCGTGGTGCATCTTCAAAAGAACCTGTTTCATCAAACTTTTTTGCTAGTTGGTAAATTGCTTGTCGTGCTGGAATTTTTGTATCGGGAAATTCAGCTTGAAAAGCTTCATTTACTACTCGTGTATTTCCTGCTTTCCACCATTGTTTCACGAGAAAAATTCTTTGTTCGTTTGTTAGAGATCTTGACATCTGCAAAAAATATGAGTTCGAAGTGACAGTTATATATCGAAGAGACAGGCAGTCTTACTGAGAATACACAAAAAACACGTAGACAGATACGGTAGATGAATATGACCAACGGTATCGAAGATAAAAGATTTATATGATCTAAAATATGAACGTGAACTATAGTAAAGCAGAAGGAGAAAAATAGGAAGAGAAAATATATATGAATATAAAGCACGTGTTTTCTATAAATTCAAATAATTTATTACATTTGTTCTTAGTGAATTGTCTTCGCTTATGGAACATTATTTTTCTCTTATTTGTAAAAAAAGTAAATTTTTCTTTGATGAGGTCTTTAGTAATACTTAACAAAGAGTTTCTCAGGGCATGTCTTTATCAATATAAACCTTGAACATGTCTCTATCATCGATAAAAAAAATCAGCTCATTTGCTTGAGCTATAATGAAGATATTCATTTTTGTTTTGAGTTAAGTGACTTTTGCACCCCCTGTATATATTTTATGTAAAAGAAAGCACTTAAAAGTGTGTAAAATACGAGAAGGTGGATGAAAAGCGAACACATCCTATTCCTAAACATTCTAACAGTGGATGAGATTTTGAAAGCTCTTATTCTGAATTTTCTACATCTATTATATAAAAATAAACTTCTCATTTGTTAAACATTATCATTATTACTTGCGTTCATATCATGACAAAAAAATGCTTTTTATAAATACACACATTTCTATCTGTGTTGACTGAAATGCAGATGAGTATGAATGTTACTTGCCTTCAACATCCTCATTCACACCTTTATCGGAAATAAATCCCGTATTGTTTTAATACTTTGTTAATTAGGTACCTCAGAAATTGCTTATAGACAGGAGTACTTGATTAACAATATTTTGCAGCAAAGGAAAATATGATTATGAAAATTGTACTCAAATACCGTGTTTATATTCAAAATTCTAGTGCAATGATAAGAACAAAGTAGAATAATAATAATTAATCAAAATTAGTTTTTATGACATATTTTAAATATAATTTTTAAAATTTGAAAAAGAATAGTTTTGCTGTTGAATGATATCTAAGAATGATAATCTCTATGTATATGTTAATTTAAGGTTATGCACTTTTGTATTCTGAGAAGTACGTTACTTCATTTCTAGATTAGTCTTATAGTTATATTGACGAACAGGCAAAGAATCGTGTGAACGGAATGGATCCTTTTCATGATGTAAATTCTTGTGTCGTATATATCATGCGTATACTTCCTTTAAGATTATTTCAAAATCTGACATGACGGAAAAGAGAATGAAACATGCTTTGTAGATTACAAAGATGGGTGGGTGTGGTTGTGGGTGAAGAAGATATATCCACACTCACACCTTCAAGATATTTCATCAATTACTCTTAGTCGTCTTCTTCTTTGCGAACGCATTATCGAGCTTAAAGCTTATGTTTCCCATTGCTATTTCAAAGGTCTAATACAATTAATTATCTCATAACCTACTTTAGAGAAGCTACCTCTCACTCGAATAGAATTCGACAGGACAGATCGGAACTTAATCGAACACGACGAAACTTTCCAACAGATGACTGCTACAAACAAAATAAAATACGTCAATATTTCATTACAGCAGTGTCCGTTTGAAGATGTGAAATTACAGGTGAATATTTTCCCACAAGTGGAACATCTTATCCCTTTGAGTCCCAGTGGTACATATTTGTACCACCTGACGAAAACTTCTAATTTCAAAATACATTTTTCCACATTTAAAGATCTAGCAGGAATATTTGCGACAAATACTCATAGATAAGACGTATTTGTTGAAGAATGCACATATCCGTATGAATAAATAACAAGGAGAAGTGTGCAGCTCTATATATTGGATTTCAGAAAGTATTCTTCAAAAATCTAAATTCTAAAAAATCTGTGGATTATTTTCA